GGGGGGGGGGGTGGGGGGGGGGGGGGGGGGGGGGGGGGGGGGGGGGGGGGGGGGGGGGGGGGGGGGGGGCAGTGAGAAGAAGGCCGCGTTGAAAAGAAGGCTGCGTAAGACACGCAGGCAGACCGACCGACAGACATGAAAACAGGCGGGCGGGTGTGAAACGCGGTGAACATGCGGATGCACTTGACACACACACACACACACACACACTTGTAGAAAGTCCGTTTCCTTTGTTCGCAACTTTGACCGTGGCCTGTAACACGATCATGTGCGAATCCACCACGTGCATACCATGAAGCCAGACGTACGAAAAGATCACCCAGTTGGACCCGCAGTTATTCATTTTTGCTGTGCTTCCAAATTCCTACTCGATGTGTGTGTTTGTGTTTCTTTTTTTCGTGTTTGCCCAGGCAACACCAGCATGTGCGTCATCAACGACCCATGTTTTTTGTTGGCATGTCTACTTGCCGGGGTAGGGGGAGCACACGCGAATGCCTTTGTCTTCACACTTACCAGCCGGTAAAGTTTGAAGCATCTCCTGATATATGTAACCAACCACGCCAGGAACACGAGCAGGAGACTACAATATCCCCCCCTAAAACACAAAACGCCGGAAACACGCGAACGTTCGACAAGTATCAGGAGTTGCTCCTAATGACGGGGGTGGGTATGTAAAACAGCTACCCTGGTTCGGTAACGGACGAGTAGCTTCCCCCCCCCCAATCCTTCCTCCTACTCCTCCTTTTGTCACGCAGACCTTGTCGCGACCTTGTACAGCATTCTGCCCGCCGTCTTTGATTCGGCAAGCGCTTTGGTAGCTGGCTGATAGCTTACCTCGAGACCACGAAGCATCCTACCAACTGGTTGAAATACGGTAGCTAACACCTCCGAGACGCTTTTTTTTTATGTAGGGCTTTGTAGCGGCGAACTATGTACTCACCCCCCGCTCTCCCGAATGACCCGACCACCGGGGCGTCTGCCGTGCTTGCCGCAGCGGTTCTCTCTGTCCCTCGGCCAACTCTCCAGGCTCCAAACCCTCACGCCCGCATGCACGTGGAGCTACAGCAGTAGTACACACAACCCTTCCACCAACCAACCCGAACGAAAAATACACGCGCAGGCACGGCGATCCTTGACGTGCTCATCCCACCGTACGACGAAGATTCTGGCCGCCATTGCACCTACTACCGCCCGGAGTATGCGGGGGAGGCGACGCCAGGGGGGGCCGCGGCCGCGGGTGTTTCCGGTACCGGCGGCGGCGGCGGCGGGCTCGTTAGGTTGGTACCTTGCCCAGACGAGTTCAGGGTGGCGAGGGGGGAATTCGTCTCGCCCCTCCCGACGTGATTGATTGATTGATCGATCGAATCTTGACGCTTCGCCGCGATTACCTAGCGGTTATTGCACATTTGTATTTGTGTGTGTGTGTGTGTTTTTTTTTTTTCTGCTCTTGCGCGGCAGCGGCGGCGCTTCTGACATGGGCGGGGGGGGGGCGGGGAAGGAGCGATCTCATGCTTCTTGCGTGGCCTGCCCTGTCGGAGCAGCGGCTGGACGCCGGTCTTGAGGCAGTTGGTTTCCTGTATACGAGATTCGAAGATGAAAACACCGCCGGGTCCGGCTTCGTTTTCTTTTTTTTGTTCTTTCGCGAAACCATCCCTAAACGTGCTTGCACTATCGGTCTTTCGCGATGCGGGCGGTCAACTGGCATTGCAACCCTTACAGGGCCTGGTGTTTGTGTGTGTGTGGTATAGTCTTGCTTTCTTTCTGTGCGATTGTGTGAGCTTGTGTATGAACGTGTGCGTTTTTTTTGGGTGGGCGAGAAAACAACTGTTTGTTTGCTTCATTTGCAATCTAGACATGGTAGCGACTTCTTGGTTAACGGCGCTTGCGCTTGAGCTGGCACGAGAGATGTTGTTTTTTGGGCGGCGATGGCGACGTTATTATTCTGCGTCCTGTGGCAAAAAACTTGTTCATAACGCACTTTACCTGAGTTCAAGAAACCTTTGTGTGTGGGGGGAGAACGGGGGCAGTCGAGAGACTCGCGGTTTCTTCAAGTACACTAGCAAGTTAGAGTAGATGTTTTTTTATTTTTAGTGTTGTCTTTCCCTGCGACGTGAGAAAAGGCGAGACAGGTTTTGCGGAGGAGAGAACCGTGTCATCAGCGAGGTAAAGCGACTTACTCAGTGCGTGCTTGCGTCTGCGTTCTTGATTGGTTCTTCTCTCGTCTTCATTTTGAACTTTTTTGGACACTTGTGTGTGTCTCGGTTCCTTTTTGCTTTGTGCTTGTTGCCGGACATGTGCATTTTGGCTTGCTGCACACTTGACGACGAGAGTATGCATACAACGTGCGCCCTCCTTCACTAATTTGGCCCTCGTCGCGGCAAAGCCTTACGGGCGATTTTGTTCTTCCTTCTTCCTTCGAGGTTTCCCTTTCCTCGCCAGAAAAAGCGTCATGTGGCGCGCTGGGCGGCGGGGGCAGTGGAGCTGGACGGGGTCAGAATTCAGCGGGTGCGGTGGGGTGGGCGTCAGGGACGGGGTTGTGTTTTTTCGACGGAAGAACTAGATTCATCGTGTCGATACGCATTGCTCTCAGCCTTTAGTTTTTTTTTTTGTGAAGGACGATGATGGTAGAAATAGACGCTGTGCTCCTTAGTAATAGCAAGGAAGGCTGCCGTCTCCCTTTCGGCTTTCCGGCACGGAGCGGGGAAGGGCAGGAGGAAGGAGCCTGCCTTCACTTGAGGAAGAGCGTGGCCGGGGAGGTGCACTCATGGTCGTGCATGCCGTAGTCGTTAGGCCGTTGACCTCGCATCCCTACAATGCCGGGACGGAGCGATATGCCGTTTATTTTTTCGCCGGCCCAGGCTACGTTTCCCAAGGGTGCAGAAGCTGGTCATGATCTTTGCTTTCGCTGTGCCAAACCAGACATGCCATGGGCTCAGATATGCCATGGGCTGATTGGGCGTGGCGCGCGGGGGGCGGGGATTCGCAGGGGAGCGACACGGTTTTCGACATGGTGCAAACGGTGGTACCCTGGGGCCCTCCCTTCATCGTGGGGGGTAGAGCAGGGTGCCACGTCCACGTGAGAAGACTGCCGGTCGCGTGGATACGACCGCTGAAATGCGACACCATCAGCAGCGCTGGCAGGGAGGGAACTCCCTCGCTCGCTGCCTGCTTTGTCCCCGCTCGGGGTACGATTTTGAATTTTCGTTTCCTTGTAGTTTCTTTGTTTTTCGGCGGTGGCGGCGGGCGGAGGGAGGCTCGCTGAATGCGTATGGAATAGACCATGACGTCGTTTCCCCATTCACGGGCGCGGGATGGAGGGCGTGGAATGGACTTGATTGGACGTAGTCGTATATATTGCAAGTAGCGCGGGCTGTTGTTGACGAGACGTATCGCGCCACAGTTTCTTGGCTTGCCTGGTAGCGCTGTTGACAATTACACGCGGTCGAGCCGAACAGAAACAACCCGGGGAATAGAGGGTTGTTGCGAGGTTCCGGTGGTAATGGTGATGGTTGCGGCGGGTGGTAGTTCACGCGAGCGGACCGTAGTCTAATTCTCTCACTGTTTGAGTTGGTTTTTTGTTTTCGTCGTTGATGTGCATGAACTTTGGTTTTGTTTCTTGAACAACTGCTTGTATTGTCCAAAGAAAAAAAAGTTGTCTGTGCGATCCGCCCGAAGCAGTAGATCTTTGGCGTGGTCTGACAGAGATTGTTCAACGAGCACCCCGGCAGCAATGTTGGAGAGGTAGGAGTGTGTTCCTTACAGTGCGATTTGCAGGATGCGCATGTTTTGCACGTTCACAAAAGGGCGAACATGACGAGTGGGTGTGAGATGATGGGGACGAAGGATGTGACGACGCCGGCCGTTTTCCAACTGGGATCATTGCGTCGTGTTGTAGATAAACGAAAGACACGCACTTTTTTTTTTTTTTAGTATTCGGGACGCTTGTTCTGTAGCACATTTTGAATCGACACGAATGTTGACGAGATGGATGGTTGGAACCAACCGTCGTCGGTCTACCTTTTGTCGCACGATGAAACATGAGCTTTGTGTAGATGCCCCAGGAAGAGTACGGGTTCATGTCGGGCGGGTAGTAGATGACGGAGAAACACATGCATGCATATACATTCATAGGCGGCGAGTGCCCGGCGACAGCTCTTGATGGATGGTACTTTTGCGACGATCAATTATGCGACACTTTACTACTACTTTGGCGGTAGAGCCGGGAAGGAGCGAAGTAGAGCCTACAGACTTTTTTTCATGTGTTGTCGGTAGCAGACGGATGGTGCGGTGATGGTGAGAGAAGAACGGTGTAACGAGCATGGTGGAAACGACGGGGACAGGGGGGAGTTAGTCATGCTGGAAGGGCTTGTTGTACCTCTTCGCCTAAGCCTTGAACTATACTATATTGTAGGATCAGGCCGGAAGGAAAAGAAAGGAGTTTTGCCATTATCGTAGCGTGTTTGCTCGATACAACGGAGAGGGCGTCAGCCACGACCTTGCTGCTGCCAACCGGCTCCGAGGCTTTTGTACATCCCGCGTGAGTCCTGAATAATAAGTAATGGTAGGTGTGTGAATGCCAGAGTTGTACGCGTCGGCGTGGAAAATAGAGAAGAGACCCCCCCCCCCCCCCCCCCCCCCCCCCCCCCCCCCCCCCCCCCCCCCCCCCCCCCCCCCCCCCCCCCCCCCCCCCCCCCCCCCCCCCCCCCCCCCCC